GCATCTCGTCGGGAACGCCAGGGCAGCTCTTGGGGACGTGGAGGTTGAAGACGTCGTAGGTCTCGTAATCGGCCTTGGCGAGCTCGCCGTTGTGGATGGCGTCGAGGATGGCACGGGTGTACTTCAGAGGGCAACGCTTACCGCCAGTGGTGGCACCAGCACCAACCCAACCGGTGTTGAGGAGCCAGGCGTTAGCCTTGTGCTGGGAGATCTTGTCTGCAAGCATGCGGGCGTAGCGCATGGGGTGCAGGGCAAGGAAGGGCTGGGCAAAGCAAGAGGAGAAGGTGGCTTGGGGTTCTGTTACGCCGTCCTCAGTACCGGCCATCTTGGAGGTGTAACCGGAGATGAAGTGGAACATGGTCTGCTCAGTGGTGAGCTTGGAGATAGGGGGGAGGACACCACGAGCATCGCAGGTGAGGAGGATGATGTTTGTGGGGTGGTTGTCGGACAAGCAGGGAACCTTGGCGTTCTCGATGTACTCAATGGGGTAGGCGCAGCGGGTGTTCTCAGTGAGGGTGGAGTCGTCGTAGTTGACAACACGGCTGATGGGGTCGAAAACGACGTTCTCGAGAACGGAGCCGAAGCGGATGGCGTTGAAAATATCGGGCTCCTTTTCGGCAGAGAGTCCGATGCACTTGGCATAGCAGCCACCCTCAATGTTGAAGACACCACGGTCGGTCCAGCAGTGCTCATCGTCACCGATCAGAGCACGCTTGGGGTCGGCGGAGAGAGTAGTCTTTCCAGTTCCGGATAGACCGAAGAAGACGGTCACATCACCGTTTTGACCCTCGTTGGCAGAAGAGTGCAGAGTCAAAACGTTGTGCTTAACGGGCATCTCGTAGAAGAGAATGGTGAAGACACCCTTCTTCATCTCACCAGCGTACTCAGTACCAAGGATGACCATCTCCTTCTCGGCGAAGTTGATGGCGACTGAGGTGGCAGAGGTCATACCCTCTGTGAAGCGGTTGGCAGGGAAAGAGCCAGCGTTGTAGATCACGTAGTCGGGGTGGAAGTGCTCGAGCTCCTGGGCTGAGGGACGGATAAGCATGTTGCGCATGAAGAGAGCGTGGTAGGCGCGCGCGCAGACAACACGGACGCTGATACGGTAGCGCTCATCCCAGCCAGCGAATCCATCGATAACGTAGATGCGGTTTCGGGTGTTGAGGTAGTCAACAGCACGTTCACGGTTAATACGCCAAACCTGAGGCTCTCAGTCAGCAATAGTTCTCTCTCTGTATAGTGACGTCACACGGGTGTATGCAAGATCTATGCAAGCGGATCCACTGCCAATCCACGACAACAACCATGAAGTAAACAAATTGAAGTCGAGTAGAGTTGCATAGGCTCTCAAAAAAAATGTCTCAGGCCAACATATAATGAGGCATTTCATTTCGTGAGGCATTTATGAGGCCGGTCGCACCCTTGCGTCGGGATCCGGAAAGGAAAGGCTCATGCGCAGTCGATCCACGCAAGTATGGGGAGAAAGCAAGGGATAGGGATTTGCATAGTAACAGAAAGCTTGAGACTTACATCAGGAGTCATGGGCTTGTTGACGGGTCCCCACCAGACGTCCTTCTCTGAGGACTCCTCCTTCACGACACGCTTATCTGAAGGGGAGCGACCAGTTTTGGCGCCAGAGTAGGCTGTGAGAGCACCGCTTGATGTGATAGCGGTACCAGTTTCGTAGACAAGAGCATCTTCATAGAGAGCAGCGACTGAAGGGTTGGCAATCTAATCAAGGGTGTTAGCGACGGGTTCGGCAGGTTCGGCCGGCGGGCACAACTTACAATAGCAACGCGCTCGTAGTCAATGTGGGCGTGCTCGTGAAGTTCTTCTTCGAGTTCGGTGTGACTCTTGCCAGGCCTGGACAATCATGTGTTAGCAGGGCTCATGATAGGAGAGCAGGGTGGTATGTATCAAGGAGTCGTGCAACACCATCGCCGACGAAGTCGATGACAGCGAGGGGCAATGAGAGACAGGGGCAACGAGGGAAGACATACTGAACACCACCAGGGTGCAGGGCAGTACGATTAACAGATGAAGCAACCATTGTTTTTAATGAAGTCGAGTGATAGTTGTTGTTTCGTTGCTTTGCAATCTGTTGTTGGAAGAAATCTGAGTAGAGAGGACCTGGTTCTGGGGGGACAACAGGGGGTATATGAATGTTTGTACCAGAACCCATGATCACAGCCGTCGAGGCAGCAAAGGCGTTTCACTTCGCTTTCCCGATGATGCTTCTCCACAGAATATCGGGAGATGACGGGGCTAAGGCCGAGTTGAAGCGATAGACGACTCTCACGATAGTCCGATTACTCCCGAACCCCAGATGTGGGCACGAAGTGGTTTCGGAAGAATGGGTCGCTGGACCAACAGGAAGAGAGAACAGCCCAAGATCGGGTCAGGCTGGCCAGTGTTATCAAAGATAGAAACAGCGCAAGTCGGAGTAAAGCACACTAAATGCCGCAGTGCAGGAGGATGGAGAGCGAGGGAGCAGTCGAGACTGCAGCAGACTACTAATTTATGACTACGGCAAACCCGCTGACGGGCTGCTGCAAACGACAATGGCGAATCATGACACAACAAACTGTATTCACAAGCCTCGACTGGGTTTGCCATCGTCAGTCTCCAGTGAATTTCCAAGGCAAGCCAAGGGAACGACGCCCAGTGATGACGTTGAATTGACCGCACTCGCATCATAGGCCGCCCAGCCCATGTGTTCTGCTGGATTTAGTGTCGAGGCTAAGAACCGAATTTGCGGGGAGAGCGCAATCAGCGTTCGGCTAAGAAATCGAGTCTATTCCCGTCCAGGCAGCGCTGGGAACGGCATCTTCCAACGTGCATCTACGTCTCACAGGCCTGCGATGCGGCCCTGAATCCTCCACTTCGGCCGGGCTACTGCTCTCTTTCGGCAGGCAGATTAGATATGTCATAAACAAATGGCTCAACATGCAAGACACGAAAAGCCTCGACCGAATAATGACGAAAGACCGGGATCAGACTCGGGTTCTCCTCCGCCCCCACAGTGCCGGTGACTAACAGTGGTTCCGAGGCCAGCCGCCCGCCGGCCAATCGGCTGGCAGGATTTGCCTGATTGCCAATCCAACGCCACTGGACGCGCAGGCGTGGGCAGAAGTTATTGCCGTGCACTACGGAGCGCTGTCGATGCAATGCTGGGATCGGAAGCTCATATGCTTCGACTACACTGTATGTCGTTATACCTTGTTGTGCCAAAGGGGAGAGGGATGGCGCCGCGGGGAGGTTCAAGGGGCTCATTCTGAGGCCTCAGCCGTGACTACCAACACTTCCCCCAGTCAACCAGCGCATGATGAGAGATGTAGCAATCTAGACCGTGCCACCTTTAAAGGCTCCATTCTGGTGGCTTTTTTCTATCAGTCAGGCGGTGCTCCAGGATTTCTGGCTAGCATCGGCGTGCTTGACCTTCACGTGCTCACCAATACGGAAAACAGTCCTTCAATGTATCAGCCACTTGTTTTCTTTTTTCCCACCTGCATGTCGGCAAACCTCTGGAGACTGAGAGGGGGGACGCTCTGACCAGTTTTGCACCAGCCCCAAGTCCCCAGAGGCCATGCCCGGGGAGGAGAGCCCTGGGCTGATGCTGCGCCCGTCCATCCCTGGAAGAGTCTGGTGTACCCCGCATCCGGTCGAGCGGCGAGCCTGGACCACACGGGCCCTTCCCCGGACCTAGGCATCACCAGCACAATGAGGTCCCTAACTACGGTTTGTCGCTGTTGCCCTTCGTCTTCTTAGAGGAAAAAAAGACAACTTCACCGCTATTCGAAGTGACGTCTTTTGAGGCATAATCACATAAACTCCCTGCCGGCCCGGTACTGCGTAGCTGAAAACCAAAGACCCCTGAAAAAAATGGACAGCAGACCCACAAATCGGGCAGGTTAGGAAGCAATCCGATTCATGTGCAAAAAAGTGGCCTTTGCCCTTTCGAATTTAGAACCCCCCGGGCTGTGCAGAAGCCCTAGACACGGGACTGGGCCCTAGTCCAAGAACGCGGTGGGTATGCAGGGGTTCCAAATCCGGAAGATTTAGGAACAGCCCTGGCCCTTCACGATGGTTGATTTTCGGGAAGCCGCAGCAGCCATTATTTAATTATTCATTTTAAATGCCTCATAATAGGAGAAATCAAAATAACTTGGTCCTGAAGATCACCGGAAAAGGCCATTCTCAAGAAAAAAATTGTGTTTTCCGCGCATTTTCGGGAAAGTACTAATTTGCTTTGCTGGTGTTTTTGAAGCCATACACGACTGCCTAATAATTGTCAACTCTTCTCGTCCAGCGGCTCTTAATCAATCAGTGCGCTATCCACGTGTGATTAATCGTTTGCTCTGCGTATATTTACTTCAAATCCATCGTCAGGTAGCACTGAGAACAGAACCCAAGAATGGGGGCCTTCGATGATAACACACATAGACAGTCCAATAGCATTGCAAATTGATATCGGGCCTTCCGACGCAATTGTAGTACAACCTGACCACTCCCGAGTCGAGGCCTATATTTCATGCATGCGATGACGTCCACGCAGTATTGAAACGGGGAACTTGGCAGGCTAAGACTATACCCTTGGGCAATCGCGAATCCATCCGAACTCGGTCCTTCTTCTCCCGAAAGTAAACAGTCGGTCATGTCATTGTCGCGAGATCCAGGGCTGACGATGAGGGCCCGATAACCGTCATCGATATTGTGCCTGTTTATCTCTTCCTATAGGGGAAGTGAATTTAAATATCTATACTAGGCGATTAGGTAGTTACTACTTGATTCAAATTGCTGTCCTGGAATTGTTCTATCGAAACCCGATTCATATTGCCCGAAATGCACTCGCTATAATACTGACAGGGAAGTATCTGGTCGGAACAGCTGTTGAGGTTGCACAACTTCTATGTTCTTCGTCCATTCTGGAAACCCGAGGAATAAAATTATGCGGCTCGGTCCTCCCGAAACCTCCCTTTTAGGTGATGGCACTCGTAGACCTACGTTGAAGTGCCTCTTCCAACAGCCTCTCGATACAGTTTCAATCGCGAGCGAACAGATTCCCCATTCCATAGCTCTCCTGATATATCCGTCCTTATGTCAGGCATCCCAACTTGCTCCAGCGCAAACGACGCTCCAACTGAACCATAGCAAGCAGCCTCCATACCATTTCCCGTATTAAGGTATCCAATCGCATACGCCCCTAGGAATGCATTCCCTGCCCCAGTTGGATCAACGACTTTGCTATTATGCTCTTCTCTTGGACCGTGTTTATAAAACGGAGGCAGCCAAGAAGGTGAGAGATGGCGTGCGCAGATAAAACATCCATACTCTCCAGCTCGGATAATCACAGTCCCCTTTCCATCCGGGCCAACGCCATTGTCCAGAAACCTTAGCGCCAAAGACTCAATCTTCCCCTTATCCAGGGCGGATGGTGGCGGGTCTCCGAAGAAGGCCGCTAACTCCAGGTGGTTTGGTGAGAATACATCGACAGTATGTACGGCTTCAAGGCATGGTTGCAAGTTCTCTACCCTGCAGGACGGAGGAGCAGGTTCCCAGATAATCAAAGGCCGCTCTGGTACGGCTTCGCTTTTCCTAACACTCAGAAGATCTGAGACTCGGTTTATAATGTTTTGCGGCGTTTCGAGATAGTGGTAGGCCTTTGATTCCAGGAGTGGGGTGCCCTTCAGGCTGTTTATCTGGACTTGGAGGATTGGGGTTGTGTATTTAAAGTCCTTGGCTAGATAGACAAAGGCTAGGTTAGCGCTCAGTTCAATTTCCTTTGTCAGTGATATGACTGGTTAAAATAGTCAAGGGGAATCACGCACGTCCAAATGTAGTATCTTTATATTCAAGCAAGCCTCTTGTCGATGGCTTATCAGTTTCCTTGTCAATTATCAATGTTGTATCCCATTTGCTCGTAAGATATCGTATCGTTGATTCAGGAAAGTCATTTCCAATATGCGGCAGCCATCCCAGAGAACGACTTAGTGGAATAGGAAGAAACAAACGGGCTCCAAGCGTAGCTATATCTTGTCAGTGTCGCGAATATATATCCAGCAAAGGTCCACAAGGAAACCAACCGTAGGCCCCAGAGCCACCGACGACATTAATTAATGGTTCTTGATTAGGAAAGCGAATCTCATCGAGAACCACCAATCCGAGGCTCACAAAGGAGATGCTAGGTGTGGTCATTGTAGATGGGCTGGTTGTGTTGTGGCGGTTGACGGACTGCCTACTGAACCGACAACCTGGGTCCTGGACGTGCGGTCAGCGCCCATAGCCTTAAACTTCTTGGCAGGTACAGAATAGTGGTCTCAGTCATGACTAGTTGCAAAAGTAAAGCAGTAGTTCATGTTCAGAGCGGTAATAGCAGGTAGTACCTAGGTAGTGCTACAGCATGTGCCTGGGGTTTCATGATATATTTTAGTCGTGTAACCAGCAATCACATTCCATATTTGAGCTGCTCTATAATATCCGACCAACGTTCTCCAGGAAATACGCTCAGCTGATAAGGCGCAAGAAGCCCTGACTGTTATTGGCCGAGCTATACTATATTTCTGCACTTTGGAGATTGGAAACATTGGAAATGACGAGCTCAGGATGGCGCCTTCGCCACGACGTCAGTCATCAAGAGTCCGAAACGCACTCTCCAAGGAGTTGTGAAGCGATATATATCTTTTGTCCAATAACTTCACGTACAAAACCCACGATCCACCGTGTGACCATCGACTTCTCGCAGGGATTCCACCCAAGACAACCAATCATCCCACATCGGGTAGAGCGGGGCTTCACCAGCGGCGGGGTAGGAAATAAAACACTCCTCGCCTCTCACATTTTCATCTTTTGTCATCTCTTCATCAAACTTCTTCTTCTGCAGAGACATCTCCGTTGAGAACACAAGGTCCTCCCTTCCCGCTCTCCACACGGTGTCGATCAAGCTAATCAGTCTCCCGGTATAGAACACTATCCAAACAAACAAGCACAACCAACCACAATATCGAAATGGCCGGACACAACGCTTGCCCGAAATGCGGTGCCACCATTGATGGTGACAACAAGAGCTGCGGCTCTTGCGGCAGCGTATGTGTGAAATTTCTGTTTTCTTGACGAGAGCAGTAAACTGACTTCTTGTAGACCTGCCCCGTCTAAGCCGGACAATTTAGGAGGACTGGGACCATAGTAGCTGACGGCGCCGTCCCGTATAGTATTGTGATGGTAGGGCTGGGAAATGATATCCTGTCGCTGAGATGGAGGACGAGAGTTGATGAGCAATGAATGAATGATACTTCCTTGTCTTTTCTTTAATCTGGACAATCATACTGTAGACCTCCAAAGGCATTCATACGATGTTCCTTGGATCCGCTTCACGACTCAGGCGAGCTGATTCGCGGGACACCTGCATTTCTAGGCTATGCGAGGATGAGCTACGCTCGCTCCGTGGCCGTATCCTCTCGGTGGAGGCTCGATGCTCTCTTAGTTCTTTTTCTTCATCTGAGTCCTCGGCAGAGCTGTCTGGCTCGGCGAACCGGTTGTTTACCAGTACAGAGTGTCGTTGTGGGTTCGCCGTGCTGTTGTTCGGCAACGGTTCGTTCTCAGACAAAAGAGCCACTTCCACAGGGTGGTCGTGGACCCTCGGAACATCCCAGGCTTTATAGAGCATGTGAAGGAAAGGGACAGACAACCCGTGCACAATGATCGAAAACAAAACTAGCCAGTATACAACTATCTTCCGTTAGACAAACGATTACTTGGCCATAGCGTGGTGACTTACCTGGTCTCATGGCATTGGTTAGAGCATTGATTTCTCTATCGCTTTCGCCTTCAGGGAATAGTCGTCGAGCATACTCTACATATGCAATCGAACCAACCCCTAGCAAGTTAGTATAAGTCATAGTAGATACCACGGATTACTACCAACCAATTGGCCCAAAATGTCCCATGAATAGGGCTTCAGTCCAGTTACTACAAATCTCCGGCATGAACCGATATCCTGCCATGATTGCAGGAATGCGCCGAAATATTAGTACCAGCATTCCCAGCCCTAGAAGGCGAGGTATAGTTACACCGGTGGTTTCGGGCATATGAAACTCGTTCCAAGGCATAACCGCACCAAGATACCCAAAGGTTAAGTAGTTGAGAAGAGTTTCAAGGGCCGAGTTGAACGAATCATGCCGCGCTTGAAGCTCTGCATTATAAAGGCCATCCCAATTAAGCATACTGCCTGCAATAAAGCATGCTAGAGTCTCATCGGAACCAAAACAGCCGCATGAGCCGACAATGAATATACCTAGAACTGCGGGAAGCAAGGTGAAGGACCCTGGATCAATCCACTTCCTGCTCAGGAATCAGCGCTGAACACTAGGTCAATCTAACAAGGAGGAACACACATTTTAGTAGACACGTCCAGGATTTTCCGACAAACAAAGCCGACAACAGCCCCATAGGCAGTGCCTAAAACAATCATGTATAAAAACCCTTCCACAAACCAATGCTTAAGAGCGGTACCTGCGCCGCCACCAAAACGGCCGACGTCCGTTGCACCGAGGAGATCCGGCTCCCCTTTCGCAAGATCAAATTCCTCCAGTACGATAGCGTTCGTTGGTGTACCGGCATACCGAAGAAGTGACACACCGAGCAATAAGAAAGGGAAGCCGAAGCCGTCATTCGCACCGGCCTCAGACGAGATGAACTCCCGGAGGTGCCGGCGAACATAGTTATCAGCGAATGGGCCCTTTGCGATAGCTTGGGAGAGAATGGGATCGGTGCAAGTCACGCAGGAGCCTATAATCAGAGCTGCGAGCTATCAAGGCGTATTCAATATTAGCATTGGCTCAGTCTATAATAAGAAGAGAGTAGACCTACAAACGAGATACGTGGGATCATTAGTTTGATGCACGTAGATGTTGCAATCCACCCTATGGCCATCAAAGGTAGTAGACAGATCGTCATTTCCTTGAAGCGGCGTTTCAAGTATTTCTTGGGCAATTCATATCCAACCTTCACCAACTGTATCCCGATCACAAGTCGGGTCAATGACTAGGCATTGTTAGTGTTCCGTCCTGGGAGAATCTCAAATCGGCATACATAGGTGATTTCGTTTGCCGTGTTCTCAATCTGACTTCTTCCTGCAGGAAGTGCCCTGACGAGGTTCGCGCCGAACGGCCCAAAAACGACACCGGTGACAAAGGCCGGCACTAGGATAGTAAATAGATTAGTATGAGAGCGGAATCGGCCAAATTAGGTTCTATACAGGCTTCACCGAGATACCAATTTTGCTTGACCTTCAGAGATATAAAACCAATAACGAGAGCGTAGAAGCCTAGATAGGAAATACAAGTTTAGCTTAACGGGAACCAACAAAGGGTAACGCGGATAAGGAAGCGGCGAACTCACTTGACACCACGAGTATAACGTTAAGGTCGCTGAGATCAAGTACCGGGTGTAGCATAGTGCTGAATGGAAGATCGTGATCCCCTAATGATAGCTGCGTAAAGAGCAGATGTCGGTTGGCAAACCTAATATCAGATATAGAATGACAACTCTTCGACTAAAGAGAATACAGCGACTCTCAAGCTGCGTGTATTCTCGTAAAGCCCAACTAGATAACCATCGACAAGAAAGGCAAAAGGCGCCCTCATTTCAGGGGAGGCTGGCCCTTACCGTGAAAAGCTTGGAATGTCGTGGATTTGCGCGAGCAGCGGGACCCAAGGGGGACGCATCATCGGCGGCAGTTTGTAGTGTGTTATTCGACCCCTTTGTCGTTATCTTACACATACCTCCACCGACGAGAGTGTCAGCTCCGAGTGGGGCTCTGTATGCGCCCTTGCAGGCACAAACTTTGGACAAGCATTGGGCATGACCCAGAGCCTCGCGAGTTGATAGTCAGGAGGTGAAACGCCAACACATAACATCAGGCTCTATGGCGTCAACAAATCACGTTGAAAATTCGAAGATGTGGCCTTCAAACCCAGATTTTATTGGGGGTGAAGACGAAGTGGATGTTGTTTGAGAGTTGCTGGCGCCAGGATGGACGCAGGCTCTTTGCAATAAGGAGGCAATGTGGCGCATAGCTAAGCTTTGTGAACCCACTTATGAGCCAACAGGATACGTAGTACGCACTACTAAACGTAGATCATTCCAATTTCCTTTGCCGGTATAGGCCATTCAGGAGAGGAAACCTGACAGCTACCTTGGGGAGACAATCGCGGAAGACGACCGGAATTGATAAGATGCTGAAGAAATGACAAGGGCTTCCACGTAGACATGCTGCTGGTAATTGGGGTTTCAAGATGCAAGCCTCGAGTGAGAATTCGGCGCTTGAGCTTCGTCAGTTGAAGCTGAAGCAGTTTGGATAGTGGGTCGTGATCGACCTGTCACGCCTGAGGCAGTTCAACTGCTCGGAATGGCTATTAATAGGCTCGAAGATAACAAAGCAAACCGCTGTTGAATTTGAAAGGGACATATGAAACTGGAATCTAAAGTACATATATATACCCATGAAAACTGTGTCCGACAATTGCCAAGAATAAGAAAAAGCCGTTGTGGCCAGACTAGAAGATCGAATAACGAAACTTGTGGATATTTGCTGTCACACCCATCCATCCACCCCTCAGATAGTTGCAAAGCTGAAGTAGAGGAGGCGAATAGTTCTAGGATGCCAGCAGCTCCGACGCAATCGCCCTGGGTATCTGGTCGCCAACTTGTAAGCCACACACAAGAATCATAACATGGAGCTAATCGTGAGCCTGCCCGGAGACTCCAGCATCGGTAATTTAAGCAGTCTTTCGCCACTGGCTCCACAAGCCAATCAAACTGCTGACTGTACCTGCGATACCGACAAGTCCATCGTCGAAGTTCGCAAGACCAATGGCGGAGGCTGGGATCACCAAGTCGCTGAGGTCCGAAAAGAGCTGGATGCGAGCAGCGGAGCGTTCCCTGTGTTTTACATCGTTAGTCTTCTTTATCAATCCAAAATCTTGACGCTAAAGGTACATACTTCTCGAGCTTCTTCGCCTCTACAACTCCTTCGCCTTCCTTCAGATCCAGGGTCTTCTGCTTCTCGCCGAGCCTGTACAAGGTGTAAACACTTGCAACCACGCTGCAGAGCAGCCCAGAGAACCAGGAGCGATAAGCCGACTCCTGAATGCGCTTGACACCATCGAGTTTCCGGAAACCGATAGCATCAACAACGCTCACTGTGTCGAGAGTCAGGTAACCAGCATATCCGAGCTGGCGACCGATGGCCAGATAACGCAGAACAGGGTCGATTGGGCCCTTGTTATCGGCCGCAAGAGCAGCAGCCTTGAGGTGTTCGACGAACTTTCCGATCCTGAGGATTTTTCGTGTTGTTCCGAACTGCTTCTTGACTGCATTGTATGGGGCAATCGCGGTTTCGGGCTGGTTGGTGCGATACAGATACCAGGCATAGAAGCGGGAGAAGTATTGCAGGGTACGGAGGAGCTTGTCTCGGCCGACTAGAAAGTTGCGTTAGAATCGAATCCATGGGTGCGCGAAGCCACTCTCTTCACTCATAAAAGCGCCATACTGGGAAACCCAAGGCGAAGCAAAGAAAGTAAGCAAAGTTATAGAGAATTCAACATACCCGTTGTAGCCACAAAGCGCAGGTAGTGCGCCAGGGCAGGGTGGTAAACCAGAGCGTCTGCGACCATTTTCGCTGTCACCGGAGAAGTAGTCGGCAAATGGGAATTTAGGTTTGGAAGCGTGGGATGAACTGAATCGATGGCAGACCAGCTGGCAAAGGCAGGGTAAGATAGAGCAGCACGATGATATGGGCGGCCCGTAGAAAGAAGTAGTGGTTGCTGGGTTGGAGAAAAGACGGGGGAGGGGGGAAGCGATCGGTAAATGAACTTGCTGGGTCCGCGCGGTTGGTGGCTCTGGGGCAGTCGTCGGCCAGTTGAACCTCGGTTTAGCATGATTCCGGGTTGGATTCCCGATCGAACCGTGACAGCTTCGCCTTCATCATTATCGCTGCAGGGAGCTTTCCGAGGTTTAGTAATACCACCGACATTGATACCCAATAACTACTTAGTTACCCTGCTCTGCTTCCGAATATGTATACTCGCCCGTGTTTAGTGCTTGATCACGGCACGACAATGAATAATCACAGGCCAGGAATATGAATCCGAGATATACAGCATGGAGCGAAAAATCAGGAAAAAATGTTGTTCCAAAGGCCATCCAGATTCTACAGATGCTAGCTTCTTACACCGTAGACCTTTTCCAGTAATGGTACGCAGCAAATGATCTCCTTTCTTCAAGAGTCATGGATTGAGTAGTCGATGTCATCTATGCGGGGCGTTTACAGGCGTTGTGGAATTAACGAGTGGAGAAATGAAGGATGAATATATGCTGCGTCATTAACGGAGAGAGTGGCCATTCTCGAGGCAGAAATGAAGTTTTGGGGCATTGTCGATATTTTGTCCTTGAGGAGGGAACCTGAGGCATTGATTGAGACCTTGGAACTTTGGAAGGGCTGTCTCGGATCTGGAAAAACTTCCCGCCAGCTGAGCTTGTGTCAGCTACCAGTGACGAACGGCGTGATATCTGCCTCAACTACCATCTCATCAACGCGGCACCCCAACACCACCTCTAAATCCCTATTATCTCATCTTGTCAGTCTCTTGTTATACATATTGCCGCCGTTGTATCCTTGAATCCCTCGCTTCTTCGTCGTCAATATGGGGTCCGATCCTCAGTACATCAAGTACCCCGACCTCTCTCTTGCCCAACACGTCTTCAATCTTTCGAACCCGGCTTGCCCCCAAAAGGTGCGACAGACGTCGTTAAAAAAACTTCAAGATGCGGTAACGGAAAGGAAAATGGCACCGTTTTACCGACATCTCGCCCACCCTGTCGAAGGTGTCCTAAACCACTCGGGCGAGGGTGTTCCCCAGTCGCGGTCCTCAAGTGCCGGCAAACCGCTCAGCACGCTCGCATCGCGAAGGTTATCGCAAAATATAGAGTTTCCTTGGGATGAAAACTTGTATCAATCACTTGTTGAAGATAACCAAAAGGAGCTGGCGGGTTTTCAAAAGGAGGAAGATGAGGCAGAAGAAGCTGCCGGGGAAACAGAAGTGCAAGCCGCACGAGGGAAGCGTGCTGAGTTTTGGGCGCGGGTAGGAGACAAGGTGTGTTTTCCACTCCATTTATGACAGTGTCTACCGATTTTCTTAGATGCCTAGCGCACTTCGCGGGTTGTGTACTGATATTTTTTTTATCTTCCAGGACAAAGCCATCGAGTCCCACGAAACTCTCCTAGAAAAGACGTCGTTCTTGGGGACCAAGATTGACCTCTCTCTTGCCATGATCCGAATCGGTCTCTTCTTTGGTGATACCCTATACGTCAAGAAAAACATCGAGCGAGCGGAGGCTTTGATTGAAAGCGGTGGTGACTGGGATAGAAGAAACCGTCTGAAGGCATACAAGGGGCTGCACCTGCTCACCGTCCGGTCCTACAGCACTGCTGCACCACTACTGCTTGATAGTCTGTCTACGTTCACTAGCTATGAGCTATGCAGTTACTCCGGTCTTGTCATTTACGCAGTACTTGCTGGCTCTCTTGCTCTGAAACGAGTTGACTTCAAGGCCAAGGTGGTGGATGCCCCCGAGATCAAGGCTATCCTTGGCTCTGGCGAAGACCGCCTAGCTGCGTTGACTGGTGAAATCTCGTCGGGGCCCGGAGCTCAAGATGAAGATATGAAGGATGCATCTGCTCCAACGGCGGCTACTACTGCTGTTAACCTGACTGCTTTCAGTGGTAACGCGGGCATTCAAGCGGATGCTGAAACGCCAATCGACTTCACACCTCTTTCAAATCTGGTTGGCAGCTTATACAACGGCAATTACCGGACATTCTTTCTCGCGCTCGCTGCTGTCGAGGACAATTTCTTGACCCAAGACCGTTATCTGTACGAGCATCGTGCTTGGTTTGTACGTGAGATGAGGCTCAGGGCCTATCAACAGCTCCTCCAGAGCTACCGCGTGGTTGGATTAAACAGCATGGCGAGTGATTTCGGTGTCACCGTGGACTTTTTGGATCGGTAAGTCGTTTGCATTTGTTCGTGCTGAACAAGGAGAACTAATATTTGCAGGGATCTTGCTCGGTTTATTGCGAATGACCGAATCTCCTGCACCATCGACCGAGTCAATGGTATCATTGAGACTAACCGGCCAGATGACAAGAACAAGCAATACGCCGATGTAGTGAAACATGGAGATGCTTTGATCACCAAACTCCAGAAGTACGGTCAAGCTGTGCGCCTGCGTGGAAGTGAACGGAGCTAAGTAATTGGACCCATAACCAATGGACGGGGGAAGGAAATGCTACCCTTGTTCAATGCATTAGGGCGTCGCCTGATCAGTAGCGCTTTGGGGTTGAGCCATTGAGCCAAGGGATGGATACATTCATATAACTAGAGCAATGTAGCGCGGAAAGCCCGCTGTATCATACAATCTCACCTTGTGGCCAAATACAGGATAACCTTCGATCTCCTGATCTTATGCTAGTAACTCAATAGGTAATAGCCATGGAAATGTGGGCCGATGTACGCCGGATTGGCGGAGCAGTAGCGCCTTGGTCGTCAATTCAGGGTCTATAAGTCCTTGATGTTTCTATTTCAATTAATCAACGTCAGATATTTAATGGTGATAAGATATGTCAACTATCTCTGAGATGATTCGATTGTCGTCCTGATTGGATCTTATGGCAGACCGACTCTTCATCCCACTTATGTAGTCCGATAGAGGGCGGCAGGCCGATATTCGGGAAGAGCCGGACTTCACGTGGGGGTGCATCGGGATGGACACCGAAGGAGGCATCGCAACCAGGGTCTAGCTTGGCTGGAAAGTCTACCGTATATCTGGGCCCATGATTTCTTAGGCTTCAACATGCCATCTCATGACGAGGAGATGCCGCTTGATCCCAGCCGCCTCCTCAAATTAGAAGAAATGAGTACCGTATAGTTGGGTCAGGAACTTGGGGGAGGCTGAGTCAGCACCGATCATCGGGTCCCTCATAATTTGCTCTAAATTTCGCGATCAATTTCCACCCCTCAGCTGGTCGTTATTTGCTGCTCTTTGCTTGACTCGGAACGCCAGCAAAGGACGCCGTTGATCGTTCAATCAACATTCTCGCTCGCCCAGTCAATTGCCCTTTATACCCCCGCGTTTGCCCCCACGGCGGAGAAGGCGCGAGTGCAAGATCGGTTGCCACTTGATTGATCGAGTGACGCGGAAAAGTCCACTACTAGAATGGCCTGGCAAGGGAGCGCATCCCATATGCGGACGCCGCTGCGGCGGGCAATGATTTCCCGGCCGAGTAATATTTGGTTCGCGCGGGGACATGGTGCTTTCTCTCAGCCTCGTTCGTTCTCTAGAATAACGTTAGCCGCGGGAAGGTCGAATGTGCTGTCGGGTAAGTGTTTCGGAAACCCCCGAGGAGGCCGTCGCCCTCCACCTTCCAGTCGGACGTCCCCAATCCCCATCGCCATTGACCAGATTGTGGTCTGGGCAGAGCCCACACCTCGTGACGTCCCTTGATGAGCGATTTAAGGACAATCTGTTTCACCCACTTTGAGTCACCGTGCTGCGGTCTACAAATGGAACCACTTGCCCAACTGCGTGGCCGTTGAGAATCCCACCGCATATGCCCCTCACATACTGACGCCTACCCAATTGACCTAGATTTCACGATGACCAAAACGCCTATACTTCCCAGTGCTTCGCAGCGTGCTCTGTCAACAGACGCCATCCGTTGCTTGACCCCGGACAACATCAACTCAAACGTCAAGGCCGCCAAGTATGCCGTTCGTGGTGAACTCGCCGTCAAAGCGGAGGAATACCGGGTGAAGCTGGGACAGGGAGACAAATCACTGCCGTTCGACAGTGTCATTTTCGCCAACATCGGAAACCCGCAGCAGCTCGACCAAAAGCCCATCACCTTCTTCCGTCAAGTCCTCAGTCTTCTCGAAAACCCATTGCTACTGAAGAACAAGGACGCCCTTCGTACGTCCTTCGGCTACCAGGATGATGTTATCGAGCGGGCCGAGAAGCTTCTTGCTGAAGTACAGAGCGTGGGCGCATACAGTCACAGCCAGGGTGCCCCGCTTATCCGTGAGAGTGTGGCCAAATTCATTGAGCAGCGCGATGGATTCCCTGCTGACCCCCAATCACTCTTCCTCACCGGTGGTGCCTCGTCTGGAGTCAACACCCTCCTGAACGTTATTTGCAACGGCCCGAATGCTGGCGTTCTCGTCCCGATTCCCCAATACCCTCTGTACACCGCCACTCTATCCCTTCTCAATGCGCAGTGCGTCCCTTACCACCTGGAGGAGCAGAAGGCATGGGGTACCGACATTGGTACCATCAAGAAATCTTTAGATCAGGCCAAGGCTGCTGGCACAGATGTCCGCGCTATCGTGGTTATCAACCCCGGTAACCCGACAGGCGCTTCTTTGAGTCCAGACGACATTAAGAGTGTCCTTGACATTGCTGCGGAGGAAAAGCTTGTGGTTATTGCCGATGAGGTATACCAAACAAACGTGTTCATTGGAGAATTCACATCATTCAAGAAGAGACTCAGGGAGCTCCAGCAAGAGGTGTCCGGCAAGTACGACAATGTCGAGCTGGTTTCCCTCCACAGTGTATCGAA